GCTCAGTCAAAATTACTGAGAACAATCATTGGTGTCCCATGATATATTAGGAATGAAAGTATCTACCGAGATCTACAAATTCCTTTAGTTAAAGCTGAATTAGTCTATTATCTTAATTTAGAATCAAATTGGTAGGCCAACATCTCATTTACTACATTTAATAATTTCCAATTTTTTCTATTCAAGATATAAGATTTGTGTGCAAATTTGATATCCTTATACTGAATTAAAATTTTAAAATAAATTAAGCATAAAACCATAAGCAATAGGAATAAACGGGGTACCAACTCCCAATGGAGCAGAGCACTGCGACCATGGTTGATCTTTTGTGCTGCCGCAAACCCTAATCGAACAGAAGACATTCCGCCTACCGAATGAAAGACAGATTGTCGGCCGTTGAGGACTTCCTAATGTCAGAAGAGGAGAGTAGTTTTCGACCCAGATCAAGGCTGGACAGTCACAGAGAATGTCACAGAGAAGAAGAACAATCTATTCCTTTAGATAGACCCATTTCATTAAGGTCATAACGCAGTCCGTGGTGTCCTGTTAAATATTTCACCAGCAACCTCAATCCTGTTCTACTGGAGCAGGATACCTTACCATAACTGTAGGGATGAACCAGCTATTTAGCCTGACGGTTATCTGGAATGTCGCGACAGTAATGGCTTCTCACCATTAAATAATATAATTTAATGTTTTTCTTATGTATTGGGAAACCACATTTCAAACGTTTTCTTCACTACTTCAGAAAATTCAATAAATCAGTAAAATTTCATAAATGTATATTATTCAAATATGTTTCACTGTCAATTTGTGTTATTAATTTTGAAATTTGTTTGGTAGTCCATATTTACCAAGAACAGAACAAACGAGAATATGAGATAGAAGCAAACATTATTTAGCGAGTATCTACGCAAAACTTAAATAACCACAGGCCATAAAGTATCAGCTGCAATAAATCTAAAATTTCCCATTGATAAATCATTAGAGAGGCAAATAAACATGGAAACAACCGAGAGCGGTAGGAAGTCAAATAAATTTCACCAAAGTGTTCCCAAAAGGATAACATACGAAATGCAGTTATATTTCAAACAGGAATAATCGAAAATTTATTGAAACTAGGCTTTATTGAAACGTTGCATTACGGACTATGTACGTAACATACGTGAATAAACGTAAGCGTACGTATGATGCAGGTTGATTGCAACATCTCATCTCTTGCGTTACGATTTTAATGACACCCTCCCCGTGTGAACTTCATTAGAGTATGATTTGTCAGTGGGGTGTATTAGAATAATATTAGTATATGAAAGCTTTGTCCCTCTACATTTTATTTACAATCTACAGATATTTTATAAATGGAACTTTGAAATGCATTGAAGGGAATTTGAAATTAAAATTGAAATGCAGTTGCACTTGAAAGAATACTATTGCTCCTTTAACTTACTGATATTATGTTAGCATTGTTTCTTTAAGCTGTGCATTGTCTTAAGCTTGCATTGCCCTTCTGCATCCAATCTGCGTTTATTGTTTTACTAATTTTTGTTATAATCAAGTAACAACCGTCGCTATTACTTTTTTGATCAATTTCTAGGCACAAGTTCGTTTTTTAGCCAAAGTGCCAGCTTCCCACTTATCTTTAGCCGCTTGATTTTAATCAGGATCATAATGATACACTCAGGCCTATAATGATGAAATCATGCATGATATTGCTTTAGACTATCTAAAACATTTATTTTGATTTAGAATCGTAAGTTATTTTTGAGATTTTCTTTATGTTTAATTTCGATTTAGAATCTTGAACTTTTCTTTGAAAGTAAAATTTACACATAAATAGCTTGATCAACTCATTTCACTATAGAATTAAAGCCGGACATTCGTAATACAAGACTGGCTTTTCGTACTCCACTGACAAAATCTAGCATTTTTTTCTTGCCAAGAAAGATGCTGTAGCTAAGGGCTATTTGCTATATATATATTATAACTACACTTTGAAATAAATTTATATATATATATATATTTATTATTTACTGATTAAACCATTACAAATAATGTAAGACAAACATTTTTCTATAATTATTATTTAAAAGGTATAATATATATATTTAAAATATATAATATATATTTTATATGTAATATATAAAATATATTTAAAGTATATAAAATATTACAGCAATTAATATGCATAAAATAGTCTCCACGCAATGTGTTTTTGTTGAATTTATTTACTGAAATACATAAAAGTACTTCATTTCATCATATTTGTAAAGAAAGTGCTGCAATAAAGCATTTTTTTGACCGTATATAAGAAGCTATATATAGGAATGCATTATTTAGTGATTATATCTGTATAAGTTAATATAGTTTTCCTAGTTTAGTCTTATCACTAGCTTAAGTTCTTCGTTGCAATCAAGTATAATTGGGAAAGATAGCATATTTAGTTGCCAATATCCAAAGTTTGATGTGCTGATTTTATTTAATAACACATTAAATTCCTGTACCTTTTGGTACTATAAATATTTAATGGAAACTAGAAAAAGGATGTAATGATGTTACTATTTATATACTTGTATGGGACTACCATATATAAGTATACTCCAATAATTTAATCATTTTTAGATTAATGAATTCAACACTATGTCAATGGTTTTGTTCTAAAGATATTATTATTATTGCAATTAATAGAAGTGACAATGTAACATAGAAACCTATAAAATCTGTAATGATTTTAAAGGTTGTTTAGTAAGAAATCTCCTAAGTTAACCTGTGCAATATATGGGAATTGACAGAGCTTATGATATAATGGTTCACATAATTTAGTTTAAAGAAATTTTCAAAAAGGATCTGAACTTATTTCCGAGCAATCAAAGGATACGAGTAGAAAAATTGGGTGTAAGCTTTAATCTGCATTTATCAGAGACTGCTTATGTCAATGTTCTATAACCTTATCTTTAAAAGGTGATAGTTTGCAAATATTGAAATTAATTAATTAAGGAATTAAGGAATTCCTTAAGGAATTAATTTTTCCTTGCTTTTACACAAATTCTCCTGCAATTATAACGACAGATTCATTCTAAGTCTGGCTTAGTAGAAAAATGGTTTTATTGTTTTTCGAAGTATTCTCCATGAAGATCAATACATTTTTTAATTCTACTGAATCACTTTTCGAAACAGTTTTGCCACTCTAAGATTGATGTCTCCAAACCTAAGATTTTTAATGTCTTAACGGTTTATTTGGACATAGAAAGGCGCACTTCTTTCTTGATATTTGGTAACAAGAACATGTTATTGGGTTATCCTGTAAAACGGATGACCCATCAATTCGACGTATTAAATGCTCAAAATATCTTTTGTTTGAATTGATATATAAGAGCTCGTCATGTTATGGTGGAGAATAATCTTCCTTTGTCGGTTGTTTTTCTTTATTTTCAATTCTGCGAAGATTTTCTGCAAGCAAATCGTTGTGTACCACACAACGGAATTGATCTTTCCGTATTGTTCAAGTGGTATAGTTGCGATATGACCGGTTTTACTACAAATACAACCGACCAATTGATTGGATTTGATCCGTCTGCGAACTACTTTTGTCGGCTTCTGCTCACTTTAGAAGACCGAACCAGTAAATTGATGTTTTGTTTCGAGCTCATTAATGATTCGTCACAAGAAGAGTTTATGATAGAATTGTTTTGAGGCAAATCGAGAAGATATTGAAGATGACGTTATGTTTTAAAAAATAACGTTATATAAGATATGCGGAGGAAGCATATCTAAATACACGTTGTCCAAACTGTGCAATTCTGTGGCATAAATTTATAATATTAAGGAAAGACTACTACTTCAAAGAAAAAGAAATAAATATTGAAAATCAAATTAACTTCTTTTAAATAAATTGGAAACTCTCATCAAGTTTTAATCATATCTAGTACCGGATACAAAGAAGCCAATTTCGATTTGAATTCATTTTCGATTTGAATCAATTTTCGATTTCTGTGTTTTTTATTGAATTTTTAACGAAACCAAAGCAAATTATTTTTCCTCTTATTAATTTCAGTCTTTGATTTGCTTTCACTATAGGAATTTCTTATTAAATTTTATTTAAACACATTGAGTTTTAAAGTTGATGAAGGTGTTGGTTTATATATTTAAAATATGAAGTAGTCATTTCTTATATGACTTAGACAATAAGTCATTATAATCATATAACAGAATTGAAGTTTTCTATATTATATGAAAATGATTTTCTATTTGTTATATACGCGCTTGTTGGAGTAGAAGTTTCTGATTGATTTTGGACTTGAAACTTAAAAATAACTTCAAACTTTTGAATAAACAATTGCTTCAGTTTGTATGCAGCTGTATTTATATTACAAAAGAGAAAAGAAAAAATAAAACAATGATGCCTGCAAGTCAGTCCATTGCATCAAAGTACATAGATACAAGGACAATGTCCTTGGATAATCAGAAATATGGTAGTATAACGGCAGAGTGAAGATGATAGAACATAGCACAAAATACGGATAGATTAATATCAAATTTTAGACAACTCGCTCTAGGGTAAAGTGGTTGGGCCTTAAGTTTTTTTAAAACTTTTTTTTAAACGTCAAATTGAATTATTGAATGCAGCTGCTAAGGACGACAAAGAAGCGACAAGTAATTTTGCTAATAGCTTTTATTTTTCTGCCAGTTTAGCACTTCGAGGCTGTTTTTTCCTTTTATATACTTCGTGGAAAAAAGTTTTTCTCTCCTAATGTTTAAGTAACTTGAACTTTTTGTTATAAATAATTAAATTTATTGTCTTGAAGAAAATTGGCTTTTTAAAAAACGTTTAAAAATGAAAAGTTTCATAGAAAATTGCTTTCAATAAAATTAAATTTGTAAATATCAATATTGAAAATAATAAATTTCAAATTTATTTTTTAGCTTCTCGAATATAGGACGTTTCAAAAACAATTAGTGAGAGACGAGTGGGTCAGCTGACATCGAACCTTACGCTTAACTACCTTACACAGACACCATCACATTGGATTACGCGCAGCTTTATCTTTGTCCAGCGCCAATTAGTGGCCTCACACCGCAGCAGCAGCAACATCCAACGCAGCCGCCGCAATATAGTATCACAACATCACGTATAACATCAACATCCACACCCACACATTATAGTCTATATAGCGCCAATCCGAACGTATACGCTTTAATTGGTACGAGTGGTGGTGGTGGTGGCAGTGGTAGTATAAGCGGTGTTGCCACTTCTATTGGTCGCAATTATACGCCGACGGATTTTGAAACGACTACTGCGGCAAATACCGCACACACCGACAAAACGCCTCCCCAATTGCAAGCACATCAACATCAACACCAACAATCACACCAAACACATCAACAACATCACACATATCAGCAACAGCAACAACAACAGCAACACCAGGAACAACAACACCATCAACAGCAACAGGATACACAACTGCCTCAACACGACGACAGTTGCGAAGAATTCAATAACATCGCAAACGAAACAAACTGTTTCGGGAAGAAAAGAATGATGGTCAGCAAATTGTGGAATAGCTGTTTTCCAGAATTTATGCCTGAACACGTGCATAGACACAACTTCTATTTGTGTCAGGTATAACACATCTTTAAGTAATATTTCACTAATAAAACTTTTTTCCCTCTTCTCTTCTCTTCTTCTCTATAGTGGCAACGCAATACACAAGTGCGAATTGTCTACCTTTTTTATCGGTGGATAACCGCTATAACATGCTTAGCGGCATTAGTTTGCTCACTACTCGATATCGGTCGCACTGATGAACACTTTGAGAATCACTATGCCAAATGGTGGATATATCTAACTCATTGGGGTCTATTATTTTGCACCATACAAGCATGGCTGGGAGCTTGGATAGTTACACAAGGAATGATGGTGGAACGTGAAGATTTCGAAATTGTGCGACAGGCAAAGAAAAGCCGCCTTCATCATCTATATTGGGTATTGTATACTTGTGCAACTGTTTACTCCTTTATTATCACCATGTGTTACTGGCTATTAGTACATAATCCAGGTAAGTTCTTAAAAGACAAAGAACCATCACTTTCTTGTAATATTCTATGCCACAGAAATTTTGTTTTCTGATGTTCCAGTTTTTATCAGTTACTAATTATAGGATTGCACTTCTTGAAATATTCCAGATTATACATAACAATGAACAGATAATATAAAAGTGAAAAAGAAAAAAAACGGAAGATATAAATAACACGTAACAAAAATTGACTGTGTTGTCTGCATTCAATTATTTGGTAGCTTTAATAATAAGTGATAAGTGATCTAGATTTGTACCTTGAAGTTGTTATAATTTCAGAAGTTATTGTATTAACTGCATCTATTTCCAATTTTCTGGATTGCGATGTAGTCAATATAACATGTGAGCAGACCATGAAATTTTTAATATTTATGGACGTAAATATTTCCATTAGTAGGATAAGCTCACTTTCATTGGATACCAAAATGAGTGCGTCGTCCACAACTTATTAATTTTTCTTCCTCCTATGTATATATCGCCGTTCCAATTTTCAACTAAAAGTTTTAAAATGTACTCAGCATATACGTTTAACAATATTAACGAAAGAATAAACGCTTTTAATTATATTCAGGTGATCAGGTGATTTGTATACTAAGCTCCCCTAAAATTGATCTTAAATGATTCCACTTAATGAAATCAAACGCTCTGATGTAGTCCACAAAAGAAAGATACACTGGGATGTTAAATTCTCTTGCCTTTTCTATTATTTGTCGGACGTTCAGAATTTTCTCTTTGGTGCCTTTTCCGGGGACAAATCCACTTTGCTCTTCCGCTATTTGGGGTAGTAGAAATGGTTGAAGTTTCTGCTGTATTATATGAAGGAGCACTTTACTTGCGTCTGTAATTCGTACATACAGTCAGATATTTTTTTTTATATTAGAAGAAATATGGATTGACACCAATCTATTCGCCATGTTTTTTCTTCTACAATATGCTTTCAAACAGCTTCCAAATTACTAAATGGGTGAAATAGGCTCAGTATTTCACCCATTTGCTTTATTGTTTCCGCTGTTACTCCATCCATGTCTGTCGCATGTCGGGGTTTTAAGATGGTAATTGCTTTTTCAATTTTCGAAATTGATAATTGCAGAATTATTTATAAAACCGGTTGAGTTACTACTCTCGATTTTTTGAGGCTGTATTGCCGTCACACTTCTGCGATGCTCCCTGGGTGGGTTCTTTGACATTTTTGATTATCTACGATTATTTGCGTTTGAAGCTTAAACTCCTGTGTGAGTTATTCTTAATAGTTCCACTTGCGAATTGTCTATATTTTTGTTATTTATTCGCAAGGCTCTTGGTATTGCTCTTTTAATTTCTTTTTACTGTGTGTAGTTTAATAATCATCAGACATACTAGAATCTTATGATCAGTATCACAATCTGCTTCTGGTTTACCGTTCACATTTCTCACACATGTTCTCCATCATTTCTGAGTAAGTATGTAATCTTTTTGATTTCGGTATTCTTTGCAAGGACTTATTCATGTAGAAAGTCTTCTTGGGTGCTGTCCATACATTGTGTTCATGATGGATAGGTTGTTTTCTAAAAAAATTTAATTAATCTTTCTCCTCTGTCGTTTTGTTCCCTATGACCATATTTTCCTATTATACCTGAATTTTATGTGCACAATATTAATTTACCTTTCTCAAATCTTAAAGGTAGTATAATTAGGAAACGTATATAGAGAATAAAAATAATTTCTATGTGCGTTCTGAGCTAATTTTCGTGGAGTTAATGAACTTTAAGTCATTTCTTTGTAATATCTTTGGGTAATGTTTTAAAAAATGTTATTTAATTGCAACCAAAATGTGTAGTTATGGTAGTAATGAGCAGTTACCTATTTTACTTAAGAAGAAACTCTGCATATGTTTTGGGTTCTTATCTTTGAGCTTTATTCGGAATTTAGCTAAAAGCGGTATTCAATTGTTAGATTGCTTACGATTTTATTTTTTAAAACAATTTTTAACAGAATTATTCAGCATTATTTTGCTTATTTGCACTTAAGTTTTTCTTCAAACCGCTTTTGACTGACATTGATGACCATGTATAGCTCACTATAATCATTGCAATAACCTCTAAAAGTTACTCCATCTAAAAAGTTAAGTTTTTATGCTCTGAAAGTTTTATCGTTAATTAGTATGTACGTATGTTGATCTTTTTTTCGGCACTTTTACTCTTTGATAGTTAGTGGTACTACGGGGTCCCACCCATCTCATTGACTAATTTATGTATTTCTTATAAGCTTTATGATTATTCAGTGATTGATCTAAAATCTGCATACCTCCCCGTGCGGAGAGTGATTACTCTAAGATTAGATAGTGCTAAGTAGGATAGCCACATATGCATACTATTCTCAAAACATATCTGAGATGTAGTTTCAATGTTTATAATTGCCCATATTCCGGTACAGTTCCTGTCGTTAAAATATAAGTTGTTGTGAATTAAGCAAAACTTCAGATTTTCTTCATAAAGTATAATTCTCAATTTTACTAGAAATATTTTAAAATGTTTATAAATAATATAAATAAGCATTTTAAATGTGTATTATTTTAATTAGAAGTAAGAAACGTTTTTATGCATATTACTAACATTAATTTAACAATATGCATTATGGAAAAACTTAATTTTTAATAGCATTTATAAAAAAAAGTCCTTCGGTTATTCTATAAATTTATGCCATACTTGGCTAATTGTATTACTCGTGAAATACATCTATAATGAAGCCCACCTGGCAAATTGCCAATAATTATCATTCCTTGCTTCATTGGAGTATAAATATGTATATCAGCTCCGTTTGAAATGAATTGGAATGACGTTTTCATTGCATATCAAATATTTTACCTTGTTATGTATATTCCTTGTGAAAATTAGCACTTTACTATCAAACTTTTGATGCTCCATCGTTGCTTCCAGCCTTTCGTATCCATCGTTGCTTCACTGCAATTGCTTTGGGATGAGCAAATATAAAGTTATTGATAACAGAGTCCTTAGTATTGGTCTTTTATTACAAGTATGACATTGTGAATGTCATTCAATTATCAGTTTGTTTATTAGAGAAGCACATGTAATGCTACCCTTCATTTATATCAACCGCATCTCAATTCTACGAATTATTCTAAAAACAATGCGATAAGGATAGTCCAAAGGACATTGTTATTTTGCACATTCTGCTTTACATCGAGCCAATAATGATGTCCTTGTTGCTTCAACATGCTATCAAGCAAGCTACGAAAACAATAGATTGTGTCATTTACTAATTTTTATTTGTAAATCAAAATGTGAATCAATGCCAATAATATGAAGTTTAACTTCATTAACTTCATTTCCACATTTACTGCAAAATATTTCCTGGAACTTATCCTCTATACATCTATATATATACATGTTAAAAGAAGATGCTAATGACTACGCATGGATTGTGTCATCATTTACACAGAACTTCATCCAATGCAAGTGTATTAGATAATTAGAATATGTCACAATTGTGCATTTCATTTGTAAAATAATGTCACTTCGAGTGACATTCCAATTAAGGTAACAATAAACAAATTGGCCTTTGCATATCATCAAACCAATTTCTTACTATACTGATTTCAAGCCAGAAAACAGAAAACAGAAACTGTTGCTTTAGTGTTCACGAAAGTATATAAGAGTATATAGGAGTATATAATGATATAATTATGTTAATGACAATATTTATATGTAATTGTTCTATTACAGATACTCACAAAATAGATGCATTAAACATAATGGTACACGTCTTGAATTCGGTTATTATGCTTATCGATCTAGCGATTGTAGGACATCCTATCAAAATGAGTCATGCTTATTTTACCACTGGTATTGGTCTCACATATGCAATATTTACAGGCATCTACTTTTTGGCTGGCGGAACTGATAGGTAAGTATCTATTAATGAATTGAATGATTGATATCGTAAACACACTACAATTAAAATTGACATTGAAGTTTGTTGAAAGTCTGCAAGATGTACGACGACAATGTTACTTGTTTCTTTAATTATTACAAGGTCACTGCGTAACGTTTCAGATCTTTGTAATATCTCACCTTTTTTGAAGGATCGTGCTTCAACCTTAAACTTGGTACTGAATCAAAATTACACTTTTGGCGATAGATTGCAAGTCAATCGGAGGAAAACAATTAATAGTTACACAAATTTCTACAATATAACAGCCATAATATGCTATTAGAAGCGACCCAAAATATTCGAAATGTATTCATGTCACAAATCATGTTTGTGACATGATCAAAGGCTAACTTCAATACACAAGTTGATCACAATAATATGGTAGGAGTGTAATTTGAGATAAAACGTATGATCTTCAATATTATATGTATTATATATATATACATTAAGATAGATTAATGGGACATCAAGTACTTTGTGGAATCCCAGAATATATTGGTGAAGTCATAATAAACAGCTTGTTGTCTTTTAGCAATACTAGAAACCGATTTGTCTTTTCAATATCTTTTTCACTTTCTTTGTATTTCTTATGTCAAAGCAAGTAATTGATTTGCTTTTCGATACAAATAAATAATATAATTGGTTTCTTATTTTCTCTTGTTTATAGAAAAAATAATACTGCAATATATCCTATGCTGGATTGGACCAAACCTGGCAAAGCTATTATCGTTACTGCATGTGCTATTATATTTGTATTTGTAGTGCATTTCTGTTGTTATCTTCTGTACCGTGGACGTGTTTGGCTGTTTACTAAGCTTTGCATACGTGGATCACATAATCGCGATGGTGATATGGGCGAAGGTCTTAATGATGATTCCGGTTCACGTATGGGTGGAGGCAGTAGTCAGGACTATGCACACCAACAACAATATCCAATTTTACACTCTGAACAGCCACACCATTCCCACCATCAGCAGATGCCCACAACAACACCACCTACGCAGACAGTACAACACCATGGTGCTGGCATGTTGCCAACGCCTTCACACACCTCACCACAATACCATCCGCAATATTCCGGCTATCAACAACAGCCAGTTGTGGCTGGTGTTAATGTGGGTGTCATTAGTGCGAGCGGCATTTATCATCACGATAACAATAATAAGTTGAAGGGTCACACATCGGTTACATCGACATCGGCTCTGAGTCGAACAGTAGCACATTTGGATGCAGCACAACGTGAACAATTCCTAAATCCGAATAAAATTGTGGAGTATAAAATGTAAAGGCGTTGTACCCGGCACCGGTATACGTTCCACTTGTCCATGAAATTTTTGGAAAAATATTGTGCGCAGTGTCAAGCGGCGAAGGAACAAGCAATGGCGGAGAGGGAAAAACTAGAACAGCAACAACAAGAACAATGTTGTTGAAGTAGGTCTTATAGATTGATTTGTAATTAGCATTGGGATTGAATATTGGGATTATGTTAATCTAAAGATTTATGGGGGAAAACACTTGACACTGACGGTAAGTTATTTATTTTTATTTTTTGTGGGCTAATATTTTAGTAGACATAATTCCACTTTTACTGAAACTAATACAAACATATGTTAATTTTAGGCTAAAACAATCCATATGTAACTTTCTAGTACTGGTTAGGTTTAGTGCGAATTTAAGTGGTAGCATGCTTTTAGTGATTATTTGTGGATAGTAATTGTGGAACACAATTTTTATAGTTTTTTAAGATATGCTAGCTAATTTTAAAAGTAACTTTGAAATGCATTTAACTCAAGGTACAAAGAGATTAATGCGATACTACCATACTAAGGCAGTATATTATGAAAGTTTTGAGGAACGTATCTATGTAAAAAAAATTCAAAACCTAGCAGGTGAAATGTATAGTTATAAAAAATACTAACATTAGTTTTATAAACTTTTATATTAAATATTAGGAAATCGTATTGTCAAATTATGTATCTAATGCAAATAATGCCAAATGCTACTTCCACAAAATTTGTTTTACGTTCCACAAAATGTTTAAATTAATTCTAGATATATCAAGCCTATTTATTTGATAGTCAAACTTAGTTTCCTATCCTATAGTATATGCTACAATTACATTTTCCTGCTTTTTTCGGTAAATATCGGATTAAGTAGTTTTTATAGTTTTTGGCCTCCATACCAAATACTATATTAGCTCAACAGTTTCTCCAAACTTTCTTAGACTTAAGTTGAAATTCTTTGCCAAAAGTATTAATAGTTGATAGTTTCTAATATTTATCTTATTTATTTTATGGACATGGTGTTCTGAATTGAGTTTCTAACTCAATTAAACTTCGAGTAATTATTAAACTGAAAGTTGCATAGTAGATAAGTTAGTTTGTTTTGGGATTTTGCATGTTTATTGCATTTAATATGAATCTTTAGTTATAATAAGTTCCCATTCCCCAAATTTTTTATTACTTTTAATAGTATGGTATATACGATTTGAATTTGAAATTATTATGATATGGGCTTCAATGAACTGCCCATAATCGTCAAATAGTGTTTATTTATAACAAGTTACTCAGATACAAATAATGGGTTTCCTAAAATTGTCTGCTATCCCATTTGATAACTAGAACTATTAATTTTAGTGAATTAAATTCTTTTCTACTACATTAGTAGTAGAAGAAATATATCAATTTTAAGTTCTTTTCACGTTATTCTCATATGATGTCATTAAAAGTGATATTGCTTAAGCTGATTGTATGAGCAAACGATCTGCTTTAATGTAACTATTTCAGTAATTATTTTTAAAATTCTATACACTTCATTAATGTCGACTTGCTACATATATTCCTTCAAAATATAATAATACCTACGATTCTCTTGAAAAGTTTATTATAAATTAAAAATAGTTAGATTGGCTATTCAGCAATATACTTTAATGGTTTAACCATGTATTGAGCCATTCCAGAACCATTCACTGTCTTTCTTTCTTTTTGCTCCTTTGCTCCTTATTGCAAAAAACCATTGATGTGTTAGTACCAAATAATATAGTGAACTACAAGGTTAAGGTAAATAGCTGACTGCAATTAAATTATTCCAGTTTTCTCAATTCCCTAGATGGAAAAGGGAATCAGTGATTTAGTTAATATTATATACTTTCTTTATCGTTACAGCATTTACAAAAGCGTAGAGTTAATATATTCAATCTGAAGGTAAAAGTTTAATTATAAAGAATCTTACTATGAATCTGACTAAAATTAAAGACTATATACTTATGGTGGGACGTTGGGACAGCGCACCATCCAACAAGTGGCCCCATTTAAGTGAAGGATTAGCCGAAGTAGACCACAAAACTTCTTGGATCCTATTTCGTCCTTCTATTTTCGGATGTCGTTATTGAGTTAAACATGGAGTGGCTTCCGTTCCCATAACTACATCTCTTGTTAATGCAAGCAGCTCATTTAGCTTGAGGTTGCCTGCCAAGTCATCACCAACCCAATGGTGTCCCAAGACAGTCTTCTTCCTACTTGACAGTGCTGGACATTGGCACAATATACGCACCGCTGTCTCTTTTTCTTTTACACATATTCTGCAAGTGTCTTCCTCAGCAAGAGTTATTTTTTTGGAGTAATACTTGAAATTGTCATGTCCAGTAATTAGTGAGGTCAGCCAGCTTAGGATGATCCGCGGATAACTAAGCACTTTTATCGCTTCCCTAACCCACGGTTTCGGCAACATGAGTTTGGTCTATCTAAAAGTACTCAACTCTCTGCATCTGTTGAGATGAAGTGAGGTTATCCATTTATAGACACAGGCTGTCATCATGTAGTAACCCAAGCGGGCATATGTTAAATAAAATCGCAAATAGTACTCTCAAAAAGAAAAAAAATCTTATGTGTAGATTTAAAGGATTTCAAATTAGAAACAGAATTTTTAATATTTTTTATAGTTCTTGTTCCGATTCAAGAGACTAACAAGATATTTACTTCTATTGTTGAAAGAATTTTAATGAAGCATTGTAGAATCATTTAAGTCATTCTTCTCAAGTTCAGAAGAAAAGATTATTTTGACATATAAACATGATGTTTGTGCGCATGATTCAAATTTTTTCATCCAAATATAGTCCTTCAGCTAGTCCTTCACTTTAATCATTCTAATATTTTACCTTTGTACGCAGACATTTATTTTGGAAGCAACTATCGAGATTATATACTTAATATCTATTTAGTGCAATTCAGCAATAGTAATAAATTACCAAATAGTTAAAATTGTACTATTCATATAAAACGAAGGATGTTTTAAAAAAAAGAATGATAATCTTCAATCTCCAGAACTTCAAAAAAGTTCTTGTCCAGTAAGTCTTCTTTATTCAAATTGAATCTCATCCAACAGGGCATTCTTTTGTGACTCATGAGTAATAGCTGCCAAAAGCCTATGGTATAGAGTAATAAAGCTGCCACAGCGATCTACCTAGATAAAATTTTGCTAAAAAACTTGAACTGAGAAATATCTCCCACTTCCTCTACACTATGCCCTGCCTTCCGTCTATGGGGTTGGGAAAACAATTTAATAAAAAGCCAATATGTGTTCTAGTGTAATGACCTCATTTGAGAGATAAAAGCGTTCAGCATCATTGGTCTAGGTACAAGTATGTTTGAATCTAGAATACAGTCCAGAAGAATATCAAGCCATTATTTTGTTACAAAAAAAAATTATCAATCAAAAAAGGAATTTTTAGCCAACTTTTGAAAATGCTTTATTATGCATTAATTTATTGTGTTGAAGATTTGATTGTGAAATTTGTACGGTACGCCCCACGGACGATTACACTACAATCGGGCTCTACACCCCCTGCGGTGAAGGGATTAGAATATTCCCAAGGTAAGGCATGCCTAACGTAAGAGGCGACCAAAATTCCGGTGCCACACAGACACTTGTACAAAAAGTGTACAAAAATGTAGGTGTTGACCCAGTCTGTGACATTTGACCAGAGGTCCCCAAAGGACGGGGATCTGCGGACCGCAGCTTCGGCTGTACTAACCAGTTAAGATTGAACTCGTAGTGACTGTGGTTTATACGCAAACTTACGCGGGAGGAATGTTCAGGTATTTGTTTATCATGCATTCAGTATAGAATTGCGTATTCGCCACCAGGTGCTGTCACACAAATATCCACAGAGGAAGTAGGTCGAATGTTCATTGATACCGAACTTAATTTCTTTTAAAATTCCAATGGGGCGTTGATTAACGCCTTGTACTAATACGTGTAATACGTGTGAATGCAGTAGCCAACGACTTGTTAAGTTAATGATTGATATGTCACCGAATTGTGGCTTAGTTGGTAAATATCGGTGTGGTGTCGATATTTCAAATCAAAAATTATGTCTCTAGCTATAGCTATTATTAGCACTACGATATCAATAATATGAAAATAAAGTGATCAATGAGAGAGGAAACCAATTTCTAGTTCTATTTGAAATGTGGTATTTTATTGAAGCCCATATTTAGTAATGCGCTGCCAGAAATGAATCGTATATATACTTTTAATAGATTTGTATGGAACAAAAAGTACATATTTACAGACTTTTTAATCAATACACATTGTTAAGTAACTCATACCAACTTACGAATTTATTTAGCCAAAGCTTTTGCATACCTTTTTTTTTAAACTAGTACTGTTAAGGCACTTTACAACACTTTTTTTTTATTTTTTTTTTTTGTTTTTTTAGTATATCATATAATTTTAAGGGTTTGTTTTTTTATTTTGCAACACAAATTTAAATATCGGTGCAGGAATTTGATATATAATAATTAACATTAAAATAATACAATTTAAAGTAAATATAATATATATACATATATATGTTACAAATAATTAGTAGAATGCCTTTTTACGTATAAACGTAGTAGAATTTGTAAACATTTTGTCATTTTGAAATGGAAAATTTAGAAACGGTCTACAAGACCATTTAAGTTAAAAAACATATATATTTATCAATGAACATATATAATGCATATATGATATGAGATATTATGTGTGGTGGCTAGAGCGTAAGTGTAAGTGAATCTGTAGAATAATATTTCGGACTACCGAAAAAGAGTAGCATTGGCGGTTAGTTTCGAAGTGTTGCATTTATAAGTATTAAATCAAGGCGAAAATAATTATTTATATTTCATAACACGAAAAAAAAAAACAAAATGTATGAAGACTAAAGTGAAGAAATAATAAACCTGAGTTTTAACTAAAACTAAAAAATTAAAATTCAAAATAAAAATAAAAAAATTTGCTCAAAGATAAATTTTCATATATAATCTATGTTCTTTTTGAGCAGAAATGTTGTTGTAAAAATAGTAATGAAAAAATTACCAAAAATGCATGTGTGAAAAAAAGTATTAAGAAATATATGTAACTCTAGGTATATGTTTGAACTTTCACAATATAAATAAAAAAAAAAAGG